GCGATACGATATCACCCGTTAAGATTTCACAATCTATGTGGACTTTTGATTCGAGTGATGCCCATGTTAAAAATCCCTTGTCATGCTAATAGGCCCGTCATTGCTTCCATTTGACAGAGCTTGTTCGTGAGTAACTTGTTAGCGGCTCGATTTGATTATACCCCTATTTTCCATCTAAGATTTACTTAAAATGATTTCTCGTATTATGGTACAAATTATTATAGTGAATAGATATTTATTCACTTATTATAGTCAAAATTCTAGCAATAAAAACTAAACACTAACCTTTTCATTAAGAATTAGTATAATCACTTTCCAAAGTAACTTGATAATTTGGGTGTCCATTCAAAGCAAGAATAGTTAAAAGAAATTAGCAAAATTCTGTTGGAATGAGGTGAAAGGGGAGAAAAAAAATCTGCTTTACATGAGGTGAAAAAATTGAATACGCCATTGTGTGTGTGTGTGTGTGTGTTTTTTTTTTAAAAAAAAAATTTGGAATCCGCTTTATTATGCGACAAGTTGTGTAAAATTGAAGCATATGGTGAGCAACTTTGAAAAATAGTTTACAAATTCATTGTTGAACTGAATCCAGAAATCATGAAAGGTTTGTATTGGATATACTTTCTCATGTTGTAAAAAATTAATGTTTAGATATAATGATCCAAAGTAAAGGTAACTAATAACTTATTTAGTGATAATATTTATAAATTTTCTATTAGAGACTTTAATATTATAACATTCCAATAGTCTATATATATATATTATGTGATTAATTGTAAAATTTAAGAAGAAAAATAAAATGGAGCAATTTTTGGATGAAAACTAAGAAAGTAGAAGGAAGGGAGAAAGATTCATTCGGTGCAAATTTTCTCTTCTGAAACTCACATATATATAGGAAAAATTTTGAGACAAATAGTCTCTATTTTCCTGAATCTATTGTTTATAGGTTTTTGACTTTTTTGCTCATTCACCTGTCTACAACACTTCCCCTTGAATGACCAAATAAATTAGGCCTACAATACTGCCTCGTTAAAAACCTTGCTAAAATAAAAACCTAGTGAGAAAAAAAATTTTAGCGAAAGGAAAAGTGCAGTGCGTAATTATCTCCCCCTGATGATAACATCGGTAATTCTTCACATGCTGTGTAAATGACGCATTCCGATGTTATGAATATGTTTTCTGAAAAGTGCTGTAGGAAGTGACTTTGTAAAAAGATCAGCTGAATTCTCACTGGAAGTAACATATTGAATATCAATATCATTATTCTTCATGAGCTCTTTGGTATATGAAAAGAATTTTGGAGGTATATGCTTGGTCCGATCATTCTTGATATATCCTTCATCCAATTGGTGAATACAAGCTGCGTTATCTTCATATAGAATGGTTGGATTTTTCTTGACTGGAAGACCACATGATGTCTTGATGTGTTGTGTCATTGTCCTGAGCCATACACTTTTTCTACTTGCTTCATGTAATGCAATAATTTCTGTATGATTTGAAGAAGTAGATACTGTTGTTTGTTTCCGAGAATGCCAAGAAATTGCAACTCCTCCATATGTGAATACATAACCAGTCTGAGATTTTTCATGATGAGGATCAGATAAGTAACCTGTATCTGCATAGCCAATTAATTCTTGTTTTGAATTGTTAGAGTAAAACAAACCCAAATCAATACCTTCTTGAAGATAATGAAATATATGCTTGATTCCATTCCAATGTCTTTTGGTAGGAGATGAGTTGTGTCTTGCTAATAAATTGACTGCAAAAGAAATATCAGGTCTAGTACAGTTAGCAAGATACATAAGAGCTCTATTTGCACTCAAATATGATACTTCAGGACTAAGCATTTCTTCATCATCTTTAGCCGGACGAAATGGATCATTTTCATCATTTAGTATTCTGACAACCATTAGAGTACTTAAAGGATTTGCTTTATCTATGTTAAAGCGTTTTTAGATTTTTTCTGTATAATTTGATTGATGCACATTTTCCATTATGCATTTGTTCAATTTGAAACTAAGACAATATTTATTTTTTCCAAGATCTTTCATTTCAAATTTCTTCTTTAAGTACGTAACAACTTCATCAATTTTTCTATGTGCTCCAATGATGTTCAAATCGTCAACATTGACAGCTATGATAACAAATCCAGATGTTGTTTTCTTAATAAAAACGCATGGACAAATAACATTATTGATATACCCCTTATTTGTCAAATAATCACTTAAACAATTATACCACATGCGCCCGGACTGCTTTAACCCATATAATGATCTTTGTAGTTTAATTGAATACATTTCTTTGGGTTTTGTACTTGAAGCTTTAGGCATCTTAAATCCTTTAGGGATTTTCATATAAATATCACTGTCAAGTGATCCATACAAATAAGCAGTCACAACATTCATAAGACGCATTTCTAATTTTCCAGAAACTGCTAAATTGATTAAGAATTTGAACGTAATTACATCCATAACAGGAGAATACGTTTCATCGTAGTCTATACTAGGTTTTTGTGAAAAACCTTCAGATATGAGTCTAGCCTTGTATCTAATGATTTTATTATTCTCATCGTTTTCGTACAAAAACCCATTTGTATCCTACAGGAATTACATTTTCAGGAGTGAGGATGATAGGTCCAAAAACATTTCAATTCAGCTTGCATAGCATCTTTCCATTTTAACCAGTTATGTCTATTTGACATTCTTTAACTAATTTTGGTTCAGGACCATCTTTTTTATCCATAATTTCATATGCTACATCATATAAAAAAATCTCATAATTATACTAAATTTTATCTCTATTCAACAGTATCTTTGTACTGTTATAATTGATTGAGATTTCTTCATTCATCTCTGTTTTCTCTTCTTGGAGAATTTCTTTGCTCTGTGTTTCTTCAAGAACAATTTCTTTTATAGTGGCTTTATTTTCTGTTCCCTTTTTAGTTCGGGGATTTTTATCCTTTGAACCAATTGGTCTTCCACATTGCAAACGAGGTTTAGATTCTTGAGAGACTTTATCTTCAGATTTTATTTCTGAGATTTCAGTACGAGCAGGAGCATTAACTGCTAGTATATGTGACTTAGTCACTCTTTTTGTATCAATAAATATAGCTAGTAATTGATTTGCAAGAATTGCTTGCAAATGTACAATCTTTTGTACTTTTCTTCGCATTGTTTTGTGCGAGGATCAAGATATAACAATGATGGTTCGTTCCATGCAATGATCTTAAATACTTCTCTTCTTTCTCCCCCTAATATTAGGAAAATAATTTCATTAAATTGACAGTCAGCAAAACGTGCTATGAAAACATCGCCAGTTAAAGACTTAAGATATTTAATAATGGAGGGTGATTCAAACCCAACATATATTCCCAATTTTCTTTAAGGACCCATTTTTGTACGCTGTGGTGGTACAATGGGTACATATACATCACAACCATACTCGTAATCCAGGTCTCATGTTCACCAGCTCGCACAATTTTACAAACCCCAATACGGTGGTTATCAGGTTTAGGGTAAATCGAGCAAGGGGGATTTTATAGTGCTGCACGATTGCTCCAAACAGAGGGAAAGGGGGGAATCTAAGCTCTAGGAACATAAACCGGTCATACACCGTGATTTTTTCCTCTGGTGACGGATTCGCCCTTTCAGTACCTAAAGCAGCTTGACATTCTAGATCTAAAGGGATGTTATATTTTTTTAGCTACGGACTTAGCATTCTGGTATGAATCTATTGTAGATACGAAATCAGCAACAGTTTTTTATTCGGCTATATCTACCAGAGTATATGCTAAAACCGCAAGATTCAGACAAAAGAAAGGCAGAAACTTAACAACAAAAAGACTACAAACTTACTTCTATCAGATTCTGGGGTTGACCTTTCGAATTGTAGCCTCCCAGGAAGATGGTAGTCCTCGACAGCGATGGGCGGTAACACTTCCGGCAACGACAACAGGGCCACTGAAATGCCGGATGATATAGAAACTCTCAACACTTTGCAGGGTGACTTTTCTTGGAATAAAATGAGAGGATGGATTTGGTGTTTTTCTGAGAAAATATATGCCAAAGAAGGAAGAGGCGTTAGTTCTCCCACGATGTGACAGTTTCGCCTATTTCCAAGGCGAGGTAATTATGACAGGCCGACATTTGGGGGGACGCACCCACTAATGGGGCAAAATTTCAGTTTAGGGGAGATTCTGAAACGGGTTACCTACTCGGTTTGGATCCTGACCAGCGACTAAAACCTATCAGGCTTGCCTTGGATGCGTTGGGCCATAGCTTGTCCAATCACTTTTGGCCAGGTCCAGGTTAGTATTGTTTTTGTGTCAAGTCTTGTTTATATCATACAATTAATTCTTGTGAGGGGCACTTGACGAGTCCATATTCACCATCAATATCAGACTGGCCTGCTAGCAAATTATAAGTCCAACCGACTCTGGTTAGAGCGGTTCAATAACAAGAGACCTAATAGGATTCGGACATCCTCCAAGGTAGTTCCATACCTATAAATAAGGTTGATCACACCATAATTACAGTACGCTATCTCTAGCTCCAACTCAGATACACATGCCATTCTATAACCCTATTTTATGACTTAAGCATCGGAGTGTCTACCCTCGAGAGACCCCCGAGACTCTGTTTTACAGATAACCCTAATCGGAGTTCCACTGTTAAGCCGGAGGTGCAATTCTAGGCTTCGCTAGAGAACTTATTGCATCTGTCCTGCTCAATATCATTGTTAATTCTCTTTACATTTTTTAGTTCAAGTAGAAGGGATGTTTCAAGCTTAGCTTATTTTAATCATGTTTCCAAGACCAAAATTTTAAGAACCCTTTAACCAAAAATAAATAAATAATTTAGAAATCTAAGTCCTAATGCCTCAACAACTATAGGAAAACCATCAACATAAAAGTCTAATGAAATCAGTTTAACATGAGAATACATGGAAATCCTAACATCATCATTCATTTTCATAGGCTAATTCTCGAGATTTGACCCAAGCTACAGTTTTCGCAACATTAACTGAGCTCCAAACTGGGGTTGAATAGTGATTACTGGGAATGGAGCATGAGCATATGATGGAGAAAGCTCAAAAGCGAAGTTCTTTAGCATCATGACGAGCGCCATTTTAGCTTCCGACAACGCGAAATTTTGACCAATGCAGATACGAGGTCCCCAACCGAATGGGAAATATGTCAGCTGCCCTTTTGTGGCCTTCAAAATCCCTTCACTAAATCTCTTCGGATTGAACTCTTCTACATCATCACCCCAAATTTTGGGATCATGATGCATAAGAATTGCAAGCAAAAAGATTTGCACTCCAGCTGGTAATGTAAGTTTTCCCAGTTTAGTTTCTTCCTTCGTCAATCGGAAAAGCATGGTTCCTGCTGGATATAGCCTTAAAACCTCGTGAATTATCATAGTAATCTGTGGAAAATCACCAATAGAACTCCACAATGAGTTCCTGTCAACATTCTCATCCAAACAGATTCAAAACATTTTTAGCATTCTGTGAGGAAAAACATACCACTTTAAGATGATTCAAGTCATCGATTTCCGGCTTCTTGTCTCCAATTACCCGTCTAATTTCATCTCTAGCGCGATCCTGCCAATCCGAATGCTTACTCAGTAGTATCAATGTCCAGACAAGCAAAACAGAAGTTGTCTCCTGTCCTGCAAAATAGAATAATTTGCATTCCTCAACGACTTCTTTCAAACTCATCCCAAATTTCTTGTCTCCATTCTGTTCAATCTCTTTGGAGTTAGATTGCAACAATACGTCTAGTAGGTCTGAATTCTGGGAATTCCCTGCTTTGATCAATTGCATTCTATTGTTTATAATATCCATCATCATTGACTCAACCTGCTTTGCAATTTCCTTCATCCTTTTGTTCCTTTTAGTTGGTACAAATCTGTACAATATTATTGAACAGAACATCAGCTATTGTGCCACACCTTAACTTCCATACAGATTAGGAATACTCTTAATTGATCGATTACCTCCATCCTGGAATGTAGACTGATCTGAAAACTTGCATTACAAGTTCAGCCTGTTCTTTTTGGAGTTCGAAAATTCTTCTTCCTTGTTCAAAATTGCTACCAAATGCGGTTCTTGAAATCGCATCACCCGTTAAAGTATGGAGTTCAGGCCATACATCCAATTCAAAAGAGCCCTCCGCTGGAACCATTTTTTCCCATTTACTCAACATATCGAAACAGCTTGCATAAAATGCAGGACCCATCAGCTACAATTCCAATAAAAAGACCTTCAGCTACAGTTCATGTACGTAACAGTTTTTCTCCGCATTTTGGGACTTCTGAAACTATTCCAACAGAATAAGGAGGTCAGCAAAACAGAGATGTTAAGTACCTTGATTCTCTCTAGTTGAAAAGCTGGATTAATTAGCTTCCTATGTTTTTCCCATTTGTCGGTTTCGTAATTCGCAAGTCCTTCAGCTAGGAGGTTAGTTAATGGATTCCCAGGAGGCTTCTGAAAATGGAAACTTCTGTTCAGGACCTCCTTTACAAGATCTGGCTCCGTAAGTAGCAAAGTTGGTCTTGGTCCTGTCCATATGTAGCAATTTTCACCTGCAAATTGATTCTGACATTATAATCTGGGTGAATTGATTCATCGGAAATCCTTTTCGTGTGGATTTTTTCCGATTAAATTAGCCCAGTGAAATAGAAGTTCAAGAATTAGTAAAAGCAGAGAACAAAACAAACGAAAACACGCATACCATATTGGTTGATGATTTTATGGATGAAGGGCATGACTCTGGGGACAATATCATTGGAAAAATTCATGGGTTTTCCCTTTGCTTCTGCATCCATCCTGAGCATTTCCTTCACGTCACCAAACAAAAACTTGTAACCAGTTCCTCGCAAGCCCTGTTTCTTGAGACATTTCTCTAGCTTCTTGGGCTTAAACCAAACCCAGTTCAAGATTTTCCATCCCAAAATCACCAGAAAGATTGCAGGAAAAATAACAAGCAGAGAATAGACGAGTTTCATTTTGGTTACGCTCGGAACTCGGAAGAGAGATTTCTAGTATACTGTTTGATTAGTGTTCTGGACTTCTGACTGCTGAGAGTGAGAGTGTTCTAGATTTCGGTGTCCTCTTTATAAGTTTATACTTTATTAGGAAAAGGTTTCACAGTATAGGCCCCACGTTCTTGCATTGATGGTTGACCATTTGACCATCTCAATTATTATTCATTTTTGTTTTCTAGCATTTCTTGCTGGTTACGGATTTCCTTATCTTTCCACATCCGTTGAAATTTCAGCTATCCAATTACAGTTAGGAGAGTCACATCCATTTTACTTAATTAAAGCAACATACAAGGAGGATGTAAGCTCCAAATTAAAAATTTTTGGCTAAGAAATATTTTTAGTACAAAATTATTTTTGACACGTAGCACTATAACTAAATTAATAAAAGAGCATGAATTTTTTTTTAGAAAAAGAAGATATTTATCTTCAACAAACAAAACCGTAATAGGCTCCTCAATTATAGCCTGATTAGAAATCAAAACTGATAGCCTACGATTCAGAAATTAAACTACCCTTAATTTTAGCAATATAATTATTGTTTAACAAAGGCAGGGCCTTCAAAACCCATAAATCCCATAAATCACTCGACCAAATTATCTTTGCTTCAAATTCAAATCAAAGATTCCAAATTTAAACGGAGAAATATGATCTTTTAGTTTCCGTCTATTTCCCATTTCATATATTCCTTCTCTTCTACAACATAAACCTAGGATTAGTGACGGAGAAACTGTTCAACCCGGATAGCCAATAATTTCGATGGAAAAGTAGCCAAAAGAAGAAGAAGTGGCACCAGCGCCGACGAACTCAATTATTTCGACATAGAAGCAGTCCTACAGAAACAAGAACGGCGACCGTACATGATAACGTCGCAGATCTAAAGAAATTACAATTCCGAACAGTCTCAGATATGAAGAAATTACAAATAGCAACCATCATTCGATACCGGAAACGGGGTGTTTGAAAATCAATCGATAGTAGAAGTATATTCTAAATTTACAAGGTCAGTTTGGTTTCCTCATTTTCAATCATTGATTAGGGCTAATCAGATTGGTTACATGAGTTAAATTAATTTCTTCTATTTTTTTCCGATCCGACCTCGACTTGGCAAAGTGTATGATTTAAAGTCTTCTGTGACAAAAAAGTTTCGAACTTGGTAAAGTGTATGATTTAAAGTCTTCCATGGTCAAAAAGTTTCGACAAAATAGTGCAGATCCGACGGGCGGGGAGCACATGTCGGGGAATTACAAGTCCATGACGGTGGTTTCAATTCTTTTGTGCTTTGGTGTTATTTTGTGGGAGATTTGTTCGGATAATATTTTTCGTAAAATTTGTTTTTAGAATCTGGATTAGAGATAGATATGGACGTTTATGGATATTAATAAAGTTTCTGTCTGTGTTTTTTTTTTAATCATGGATTTTAATTTTTTGGTGTTCTTCCGATATTGACGAAAATTGTTTGAGAAAATGTTGTTTTCTTAGGAGCTTGAGAGCTACGTCTTTAGGTTTATGCATAATGGTTTTATGGGTTTTGATTAATTTCTGTTTTGTTTGAATCAACTATGAATTTAATTTTCAAGATTTCACCGTTAACTTTTTTCGTTTGACAGTTTATGAAGAGGGAGAGATTAATGTCCTTCCAATACAAGTTCTAGAACCCTTACTTCCTCAATTTATGAAAATTTCAAATCTGCATTTTAATTTGACGTCTAATCTCAAAATCAGTTCAGTTATCCTTCCACATTCATTACTTTTTATGTGGCATCATTCTTTGAAAACTTCTTATTCTAGTATGTCCGTCGAGAGAAGACCCCTTTTAAACCTTCATACATATCTAAAAAAAAATTATGAAGAACAAACTAGACCTAGGGATTTAAGCCTTCATTTTACTTTTACTTATACATACCTAAAAAAAATTATGAAGAACAAACTAGACCCAGGGTTTTAATTGTAGACAAAAATAATTTTTTTGCGCTTTAAACACGCGAAAAAACAAAAATCACGTTTTGAAAACGATAAAAAAACAATTTCGCGTTTTAAAAACACTAAAAATCAGTTTTCGCGTTTCAGAAACGTTAAAAATAAGAAATCATAATTAATTTAACTTAATCCTAATTAATTAATGGTAAAAGAATTGAATAAATAAAGATTCGCGTTTTCAAAGCGCGAAAAAAATAAAAAAGAATATTTTATTTAAATAAAAAAGGAAATAGTCATAAAAATTTGATTAATTTGCCTAGTTTAAAAAGTTATAGGGAAATTTAGTTCAAAAAATTATTAAATTTGAATAATGGTAACACAAAATTTTAAAATTATAATTGGTAATCATTAAATTTTGAATAGAGCTATAAAGAGGAAAATTATATTGATAATTTTAATAATACGAAAATTAAATTTTGAATAAGAATATAATATTATAATTGATACTCATTAAATTAAATAGAGCTACACTAAATATAAATTATTAAAAGTATGATATTGTTATCATAATGTATTAAATTTTTAAAACATTATATAAAAATTTAATAATGATTATATTAAAAAATTATATTAAATATTTAAAAAATTATATTAAAAATGTAATCATTATTTCATAAAATAATTTTATATGAAAAATTTTCAATAATGATAAATGACGTAATTTTATGGATTTAATTAGATGTAATTTAATTTACAAATTGTTTTTATTAATTATGACGGTTTCAATATAAGAAAAAAGCTTAAATATGAATAAATTTTATTAAATATTTATTATAATTTACCAACGCTTAAGATGAAGCAATTATTGTCTCTTCTTCGGAAACCTCACTGGGGAGACAGCAAAAATGTCGAAGCGAGGACGTGGAGGATCTGCGGGTAACAAGTTCAAGATGTCTCTGGGTCTTCCAGTGGCTGCGACGGTGAATTGCGCCGACAACACCGGGGTAAAGAACCTTTACATCATTTCAGTGAAGGGAATGAAGGGTAGGCTCAATCGTCTCCCTTCTGATTGCGTCAGTGACATGGTTATGGCCACCGTCAAGAAGGGTAAGCCCGATCTCAGTCAGAAAGAAGGTCATGCCCGCAGTCATTGTCCGCTAGCGCAAGCCATGGCGTCTAAAGGACGGTGTCTACATGTGCTTTGAAGATAATGCTGGAGTGATTGTTAATCCCAAGGGAAAAATGAAAGGTTCTGCAATCAGTGGTGCCATTGGAAAGGAGTGTGATGATCTTTGGCCTAGGATTGTAAGTGCTGCCAATGCGATTGTTTAATGCACCGCATCTTAATTTTGAAAAGAACTTTAGTTTACTGAATGTTTGTTTTAGGTATCTGGTACTATTCTTTTGTGGATGTGATAATTTTAATAGACGGTTGGTATGTAAGAGCTAAGAATTACATCTTTTGTTTGGATAAACTAAATACTTTGCTGTTTGTTTTTAAAAGAAAAGATGAAGCAACTATTAATTATTAAAAAAATATAAGAAAGTTTGAAAATGTGTTTAGATTTGATCGGCGAAGATGTGTTTGATAAATATTAATAAAGTAGCAACGATGCAGGTAAAATCAAACTATTAAGAATATTAATACAAGTCATAACAAAATACTACAAGTCATAACAAAAGGGAAAAAAATAAAACAAGTCATAACAAAAGGAAAAAAACATAAATGAACAAAAGGAAAAAAAAAAAAATACAAGTCTAATAATACTACATAAAAAGTCTAGTACCCTACTTCTTCTTGGGCTTTTTAGCCCGGAAATAGCTATAAGTCAATCTATCGGGCTCCTTCGTCACTCTCTGGCCTTTACTCACAGCCAACGGTGGAGTCCCTAGAGTCTGACTCGACCCCTGCTCCTCATGGCGCTGATAACCCTGACCCTCAAACTGATCATCCTGGTCTGCATCCTCAGCCTCATCTTCACCCTGACTCTCACGCTCACCTCCAGCTGGGTCATCAGGCTGATGCTGACCCGCAACACCCTCGAACATACTCGAAAGAAAGTTACTCGTGTAATGTATCGACTGGCCATCTAGCGAACTCTGCTGGAACCCAGAAAAGTCAATAAAATCATCTCCAAACTGAGGCTAAGAAGTCTAAGGGGAGGAATGCATCGCTCCAAAATGGGACTGCTGGTGCTGGAGAGACATAATGGGACGGTAAAACGCCTGTTGGGTCGGCGAAGAATGATGTGGAGACTGATGTGGAGACTGATGGGATGAATGATGTGGAGAATGATGTGGAGACTGATGGGATGAATGCTATAGAGAATGGTGTGGAGACTGATGTGGAGACTGATGAGATGAACCGTCAGTGAAGGCGATATGAGACTGCTGATGCTGGGAGGCCTGATGTGGCTGAGTGGGCGTGATTGTCTCTTGTCACCCACGCCCACGCTGAGACCTGCGCGAACGCCTCGGAGGTCTGGGTGGTGGATGTTGCTGGGTCGGGTCTACAGGTGCAAGTTCTTGACTCAAGATGTCATTAACCTCAACATGCCTATCGAGATCGTGACGTACAACATTCGTTGCATTGACCGACAACGCCCGCTCAGCAACCTGGGCAATCTCGCCTAAGCGATCATAACCAAATGAGTCCGTGTCGAAAGTACGCTGGCCTATAATACTCAGACTACGAACGTCCCCCATCAATGTGGCCTGAAATTTTTGTTAGAAAGAATCATAAATCGATAACAGTATTAATAAATTACATAATGGACTGTAGGCGAAATACTCACCATGAGGTGCAAGGTCTCTGCAGAGCCGTGAAAACCCCTCGCATTTTCAGAGTCCGTCGGATCCGTAACATACTTTACAGTAACCTGATGGTACCACAAGAGATACTCTGGATCTGCGGTAGGCTCGCCAACATAATCATTATCAGTCCCCACAAGTCTGCCGTGGCGATCATTCCAAACCTGGAGATATATCCCTAGTTGTTGTATCCATCTCCTATCAGATCCTCCAAATGGCTTCCTCTTGAGTAGGCTAGTAATTTCCTCCGCAGTGAGAAGCAATGCGTCGCCGGGTATCCGCTGGTGATAACCAAATTGGCGAAATACCCTACTGGGGTTGTGTGGCGCAACGAAATCACCGCAGATGAGCCATATCTGAGATCGCCATATGCCCTGTCCCACAAGACAAACCCTGGCAATACGGCCTAGAAGAGTCGTGTACGACATCCATACAAACTGCAGTGGTAATATAGTAAGACACGCGTAATTAAAAGTCCGCCACAATTAAAAAAAAACGAATAAAAAATATGTTACAGTAATTGAAATGAATACTAACATCTGACTCTGCGAGAACTGCAAGCTGATCCCGGTACGCGGCCAAATTGAACCGCGTGATACCTTGAACTTTTTTCTCACGGGACCACCTGCACGGATAAATTAACATTAAATTGAGACATGACAGTACAAATCACAATGTCAAAATGTCCGGAGGTTTGATGTATAAGATTAGCTCGTGCCCAATGGACAATGAGAAAGATCGAACTCCCCACCCAATATCTTTGGCTGAACTGTCAAAATCTGCTCCCAGGCCCAGAGCTAATTCATAATGTATGGATCATTAGCTAATATCACAAATAATTATGGGAGAATATAAAATGAAACTAGAGAGAAATGAAAAGATAAAATACCTGAAGAAGAATCACACAGCCGGTAATAGCCTTTGCAGAAGCGGCCAGAGATGACTTGGACATGCTGCGGTACAAGTAACATAGTGCCGCGCTACCCCAACTGTACTCCGATTCACACGCTTCCGACCCCGGCCAGCATGGTGGACAAGTTTAGTGTCATCTGGCCTGATCTGCCACGTTGCCTTTGGCCATGGTTCCATGATTGGGTTGAATTCTCCAGAAAACTGCTGGTACCATTGCTGCATAGTGTAACATGGATCAACAAGTGGGAAGGGGTCGTCACCTAACTCACGGGCAACTCGAAGTGCGTGGGAACAAGGAAATCTGAAAGTCTGCCACCTTTTGCAAGTGCACTCTCGATCTGCATAGAGCACAACTTGCTTATCCTCAGCCTTCCATGGTTGATTATCAGGTGTTATTGTAACCATTTCGTATTTCTGGTTTTTCTTGCTAAACCGGTTGACCTTTTGCCTCAATGATTTCTTCCGGGCCTCTTCATACAGTTTCATTGGCTTAGGAGGTAGAACATTCTGACATTTCTGGATCATATCAATGTTTGCCTGAAACAGATTGTTGCTTTTCTGAAAGGATGCTAGGATCAAAGCTGTGATCGGGAAGAATCTAGCACCTTTCAGCACATTATTGAAACTCTCTGAAATGTTAGTGGTCATTTCTCCCCAACGATGCCCTCCATCGTGTAAACAGGTCCATTTCTCAACACCCAACTTCTGAAGCCAACGAGCTGCAGCCTCATTTTTTTCTTCTAATTTTTTCCACTCTGCCAAATAACTTGTCTTTTGCGTCGCTGAACCAATCATTTGACAGTTGCCACCCAGTTTCTCCTTTCGAAAATACCCAACCAAGTTTGCTTTAACATGCTCTAGACAATACCGGTGGACTCCCATCTCTGGAAATTTTTGCAACATGATGTCCATGGCAATAAGGATACCCTGATTTCGATCAGAGATAATACATGTCTTCCTATCCTGTAGAACAAACTTTTTCAAATACTTCAAGAACCATTTCCAGCTGTGTATAGTCTCTTCGTCCACAAGAGCAAATGCGATGGGAACATTTGTGCCATTTGCGTACTTCACGCATGCCACAATTAGTTTTCCTTTGTAGGATCCTCGCAGGTGAGTGGCATTGATGGTTATTACTGGCCAGCAAGCATGAAATAACTGTATAGATGGCCCAAATACCCAGAAAACATACCTACATACAAACCTTTGCGAGCTTCCTGAATTTTCCTTAAACTTGAATTGCCCACAGGTGTCCGGGTTTGACATGAACAATGCATCAAGGAAGCTGGGCAGTTGTTGAAAATTACTTTCCCGTGTACCATACAGAGCCTCAAGTGCTTTTTTTCTACCATGCCATGCCTTCTTGTAGGTACATTCGACTTGGTACCTCTTCAAAACTTCTATTTGAATTTGGGCAACTGCAAAATCTGGATGTTTTCGCACATTTTGGGCAACCAGTCTAGCAATCATAGAAGACGTGACGTTTCGGGACTCGTTTCTCTTGTTTGCCCCAAGACAGTTGTGGGAATCGGACCATACCACCATTTTCCAAGTACCGGTGGCCTTCTGTAGCGAAACTCGCGCCTTCCACAAGCAATCATAGCTGTGAAGACGCTCTTTCGGATATTTGGGTCCACAGGTCTCGCATTCGACATACCATGTTTGTTTAGAGCTCGTTTTCACCCGGAAAGTCCGACCATGTACCAAATTCCATTCTCCCACTGCCGCTTGTGCCTCAGGCTTGTTGGTGAAATGTACATCAAGGCCTAGCGTCAACGGATTGCCATCCCACATTTTAATCCCATCACAATCTACTTCCTTTAAAGTCTTGTCCCATCCATTGATGTCGTCGAAAACATATGGGACTGAAGAAGATGACTCAAAATCAGCGTCGTCATCTGAGTCCTCATCCGATGGGACATACTCATCATCATTGCTTTCGACACCCCCGCCATCTTCATCTTCATCTTCATCTTTATCTACATCTTTATCTCCATCTTCATCTCCATCTTCATCTTCATTGTCTTCAACTGTTCTTCCACCATTAGTGCTGGCACCAATATCCTGGCCAGATGTACTTGCATAAACATGGCCTATTCTCTCAACATTTTCAGGATACAATTCTGGCCATTTATCAGCACAAAGATAAATGAACCGAACAGTATTATCATCATTAATGTGCACACGAGACCTTTTTCCTGACCTCTCCGTCCATACCAAAGAAAAATCAATATACAACCCTTCTCTATCAACTTCCATCACACAACATACCTATCAACAAGTTCCGAGAGATCTAACATACGATCAATGATAAGATAACCGTCCGGCGCCTTCCGCTGTACCGTGATAGTTCCATCAGGTTCAGTTGTATAAGTAGTACTCCAGTATACTTTCAGACGAACTGTCTCCGTGAAAGACATTTGCGGCCTGCAAAATCAATTCCTACGAAATCAGAACACTAGAATACATTTTGAATTTTAGTTTTGCAGAAACAGTATTTAACCCGTTTACAGATTTAATAATTTCAAAAGAACAACTATATGCCTGAATTTACAAATTCATTTCTATGCTAAAAATTAATATTAAATCTAAACCTTATGCTCGAATTACATAATTTATTCTTATGCTAAAAATATTCAAAAAATCAATATCATTATTATAATTTTATTTTATTTTACAGAAATCGATATACAATAATTTATAACGCTCATCTAATTTAACATTCTATTAACTAATATTTCTTTCAATTCACTTTATCTGCCTAATTAAAAAACCACCGTTAATTGACTAAATTATAATTATTTATTAACTAATAATGATGCGTAAATCATCCTATGCTCACAATAAGGCATAAAAAAGTACATGTTTTCTATAACGAAATAAACTCACCTGAATGTTGAAACTTAGGGTTTTAAATAGGCTTAAGGACTCAAATCAATCTTCTTTAACTTCGAAGCAACTTCTCAATTTGAAGGAAATGAGAGCTTTCACGGATTCAGCCAAGTCCTCCGAGTGAAACTTAAAATCGGAGCTCAACAGAATGAAAGAAGTTTGGGAAGAAAAATCGGAGCTCAACAGAATGAAAAAAGTTTGTGAAGAAATGCTGTTATTTTGCTTGGTTTGGTACATGAATCTTAAATTTCGCGTTTACAAAACGCGAATACATTCAAGACTTATCCTCAAAATACACGTGGAGCCGAATGAGTGGATGAGGAGATTTTCTGGATATTTTCGTGTTTTGAAAATGCTAAATTCATTTTTCGCGCTTTCAAAATGCTAGAAAATTTTTTTCGTGTTTTCAAAACGCTAAATAGTTATTTGCAAACCGTAATTTATTTAAAATTTAAAATTTATAGCTTTTCGCATTTTAAAAACGCGAAAATAGTTTTTCGCGTTTCTGAAACGCGATTTAGGTTTTTCGCGTTTCCAAAACGCGAAAAATGGTTTTCCTTTTTTAATTCAATTTTTTTTTGCTTTCGTACAGGGTTCACGTTTCACAAACGCGAATTGTTAATTTAATTTTCTTGTTTCGCGTTTTGAAAGCTCGAGAACATTATATTTGTCCAGTTTTTAAACCCTACACATTTTTTGTTCCACAATTTTGGGTTTGACTCACCCAAAAGTCAAGCACCCCAAAATTTCTTATATTTCTTTTTTCCCAATCCTACCTCGACATGTGAGCACCACCGAGCAGCCTCAAGTTTTTCAGCCACTTCTCCGGAAGATGGATTCAGCTTCAACAACAAAAGGCACGGGCCAATCTGTGATGGAGATCAGTTCGAAACCGACTTCAGTGGAAATAGATCTAGCAGTAGCCAATAAATAAAAATGCAACAATAAAAGAATCAAATCTGCGAAGTTTTGAAACACAACTCCATTGATTCCCGTTGATCACAGAATCGTTAAAGAAGCTGTTCAAAGGCTTCGACAAAGCTGTTCAAATACAGATGACAGCAGACACAACCGTCGCTAATTTCCAAGGTAATTCTTTTCCTTGGTTTCATTATTTCATTTGTTATAAAATAGAGAAAGGGTTGATGAATGATGATATATGGGTACGTGTTAATGTGTTTTGTTTTTTTAATATTT